CTTCAGCCTTGACAGTTATCCCAACTTCAACAGAAGCTGAAAGGTCAACAACACCAGTCATTGAAGACCAAACTACATCAGTAACTGAAATCACAACAGGTATATCAGAATCCCCAATTTCAGCCTTCACATATACCGTAACTTCAACAGAAGCTGAACACTCTACAACACCAGTCATTGAGGCCCATTCTACATCAGTAACTGACATCACAACAACAGAGGTATTCAAATCTCCAACTTCAGCCTTGACAGTTATCCCAGCTTCAACAGAAGCTGAAAGGTCAACAACACCAGTCACTGAAGACCAAACTGCATCAGTAACTGAAATCACAACAACAGGTATATCAGAATCCCCAACTTCAGCCTTCACAGATACCCCAACTTCATCAAAAGCTGAACACTCAAAAACAGCAATCAATGAAGACCATACTACATCAGTATCTAAAATCACAACCATAGAGGTGTCTGAATCTCCAACTTTAGCCTTCACAGATACCCCAACTTCAACAGAAACTGAACAATCAACAACACCAGTCACTGTGGAACATTCTACATTAGCAACTGACATCACAACAGGGGTATCTGAATCTCCAACTTCAGCCTTCACAGATACCCCAACGTCAACAGAAGCTAAAAGCTCAATAACACCACTCATTGAAGACCAAACTACATCAGTAACTGGATTCACAACAACAGGAGTATCTGAGTCTCCAACCAGGGCATCAGAATCCCCAACGTCAGCCTTTACAGATACTAGTACCACTTCCTCCCCTAAAGCAGAAGAAACCACTACAGCCACCTCTGCCTCTGCCACCACTACAGCCACCACTGCCTCTGCTACCACTATAGCCGTCTCTGCCTCTGACACCACTACAGCCACCTCTGCCACCACTACAGCCATCTCTGTCTCTGCCACCACTGCCTCTGCCACCACTACAGCCACCACTGCCTCTGCCACCACTACAGCCATCTCTGCCTCTGACACCACTACAGCCACCTCTGCCTCTGCCACCACTATAGCCACCATGGCCTCTACCACCACTACAGCCACCTCTGCCTCTGCCACCACTACAGCCACCTCTGCCTCTGCCACCACTACAGCCACCACTGCCTCTGACACCACTACAGCCACCACTGCCTCTGCCACCACTACAGCCACCTCTGCCTCTGCCACCACTACAGCCACCACTGCCTCTGCCACCACTACAGCCACCTCTGCCTCTGCCACCACTACAGCCACCTCTGCTTCTGCCACCACTACAGCCACCTCTGCCTCTGCCACCACTACAGCCACCTCTGCTTCTGCCAC